AGTTTTCTGTTTGGTTATGAACATGTTCATCAGTTTAAGTATGATCCATGGTTTACACCCTGTATGTTTTAATTTTTCAGAATGGCTTCTCGCCACAAATGGACATCGACAAAATCATTGGCAAACTGAAAAATAATGACTATATTTTCATACATGAAGTTGTCAGAGATTTGAAATATCTCATCAATTACTACACTATGTTTGCAGAGGTGAGTTGTTCATAATCAAGTGTGATTTTGCTATCTTCCTCATAGGAATTGGTAGATTTGACTACTGAAATTCAGGAGCGGATCCAGGCGATATTTGAGGAAGGGGCCATAGGAAGTCACGCCTCATTGGGGATAGCAAAAAAGAGAGGATTTTTCATTGATACTATCTGGAAAATATTATATTGTTTAACGAGCACGGAATGATAGTGATTTCCTACGAGAATGAAGTTTGCAGCATGAACCATTGGCGAATGCTGCAATAAGCATTCCATGCAAGTTATACACTATAATTTTCGTACGGCTATGATAGATAACAGCGGCATTTTCGATTTCTTCGTCTTGTATCCATCTGACTTCCTGAAATTTGACATTCCATGAGCGATGAGTTTTTTTTTTCAAATAATAACACAATGGAGTCATTGAGATATCAGATACGGAAATAAATTGATGACATACGAAGTTGCTCATTGATGTATAAAACACAATAAAGCAGCAGCAATATTGTGTTATAGCCGTAGAACTTTTTTTTTCTGTTAGATAGATTGATTCTAGTGAACATGAATTAATATTCAGTTTCGTATCAATTATGAATATTCCAGTTTGAAAAACATACGATATATTTCATTTATTTCATGAATAGGGCTGACAAAAAACGCCCAAAGCCATAGCGCCGCAATGAATTATCCGATTTTGAAATACAAAAACGTGAAAGAAAAAACTCATCAAATCCTATGAATAGGCTCTGATCATTATTTTTTTAGGTTCTAACTAAAAGCGGCTTACTTTTTTTGTCAAATGCGGCACTGTATATTTTTTTCAAAATTTTTATCTGGTTGATTTTCAAAATGAAATGAGTTAAAATAAATAATAAATTATCAATTGATAATTTCAATTTCAATGGAAATTATGGATGAAAATGAACGGCAGTATTTCATTTGGCAGATATTTGGACACCGAATGTAATTTCAGAGTATGTGTGAATTGTATACGCGACGCCCAATTCGAACATTTTTTTTTGACAGCGCACTCTGAAATCTCCTGAAGTGTTGGAATATATGACAAGTGCAACACTGACATTCATTCCAATGATATTTATACTGTCACATTTGATGATGCATCTTTTTCATACATATACATTATTGATTATTGTTTATTGAAAAACTAGCTTCCAGTCAGAAATAAAATTCTGGTATGAGGAAGTTGATTACAAACAACAATAATAAAATGATATAAGGTGACAACAACAACAATAAAAATCTAAAAAATCTAAAAATGCTCAATCGATCAAGTCATAAAAATAGCCACAGGGACTAATCACTGATATATTCCGAAAAAATCTGGATCAGAAGAAAAAATAGAAATAACAGTATGCAAATGACAATCCTTCCATCTGAGAGAAGAAACCCTTCGATTTAGAATACAACACAAATAAGGATTTGAAGAAATTGAAAAAATGGTTTAACTCGAATCTTCTTTTCCTCAATTCTGATAAGACAAAATATATAACTCTGAATCAAAAAAATGAACAAGATATTGATTCGAATATTAGATAAAAAATGAAAGATTGGAACTAACTGCCTATACCAAATACCTTGGGACATGTTAACATGGGACAAGCATATTGGCATGCTCAAATAAAAATGTCTTTCATAGTTGGTGCCCTAAGAAGATGTTCAAAACTAAGCACAGATTAAGCAAATTCCATTCTTCACTCTCACATTCATAGTAAAATGAACTATCTCATAAATATTTGGGGTTCATGTAATAAGAATAATTTTAACAAAATATCTGTACTATGTCTGTACTATATGGGGTGTTTCCTCCCCATCAAATCAACTTTATGAAGAAACAAATACATTTTATTTGGAAAAGCACTATCTGATCTATACTCTCAGCATTTCCTATGATATTATCAACAAACACTTAATCAAGGAGCTTCCTTGAATTTCCATATATTACCTGTTGATGATATCAAGAGTTGCACAAATATCACCCAATTCGAAATGTGAGTCAAGAAGCATATTCGCTTGCAGAGAGAAAATCAAACCTGAGTGAATGATTTCTCATTCACTTATTCATTTTATCTTGTCTCGATATACTTTTTATGAGATTTTTTTTGTATTATCATCATTATTGTATCTGTTTTCTAATTCAAAAACTTAGATTTAATCACGCATCAATAATCTCATACCAGATAGAACCATAATAAAATTATATATTTATATGAGATGCAATATAATGTTTATACCAAAGAATGGAATGAATATTATCATTATTAAAATGCACAGCGTCATTTGAAATAGCAGAGTTGACAGTCGTTGATGTTTCTGTTGAGAGCCTACTCATATTTATCTGATGAGTTGTTTCAATTGCTTTCTGTTCCAGATCTGGATAAAAAATAGCATCGCTATGGCCTGAGACGTTTTTTATCAGTCAGTTTCTATGATGTAGATTTCTTGAATACATTATTTATTTATTTATTTCAGTTATTGCATTACATTCTCTTCTTCACTGATACATTTCATACAAATAATATATATAGTATAATTAATTTTCTAGTAGGAATGACATGAATGATCAGACAGTAATTCCTGGTATAAGATCATTCATGAAGTATTATCGACTGTTGTATAATTGAAATTACAAATAGTGAACAAAACTTACATATCATTAAGATACAGTCATATTATAGTGAACAAGAAGGGGAAAAATAAAAACAGTGGAAAAGAAAAAAGGAAATTCATAGTCTTTCAGCTTTGATCATTCCTTTGCATATATAAATATATTTCTTAACTTTATTTTTGAATTGCATAATATTTGGGCTGTTTTTGATACCATCTGGTGATTTTATTATTATATTCATAATTGAATGGAACAAAGTAGAAAAAAGGGAGTTTTTTTACAATCAGGAGCAATTATTCGAGTGATTCTAAGATGAAGAGTTCATACAAACATAGGTCCTGCAATGCTTCCTTTTCAAGATACAGGGCCTTGAAATTGGAAGTATCAATTGTTGTTTTTCATTATTACCCTGTATGCGCTCTCATCATGGCATGATTTAGTCTGGTTGGTGATTATGAAAGTCTCGAAATTTCAGAATGATACTCATTGAGGTTATTGGGGGTGATCTCAATGGGTGTGTTGAGTGCACCTACATCAAAATTTGGAATCAAATACATCTTGTATTATCTTCTCAGAAACTTAGTAATATTCAAAAATTCAGCAAAGGACGAGGATGTTGTATTCCCAATTTCTTAACCTGATGAAAATATCGAACTTGGAAAATTATGACGTAGGTAGGTACCTTATTTACCATTAATATCGAAATGATAACCCACTGCGATGCCACTGAGATCATTTTCCGAATCTAATTACACCCAAAAGGAGCTAATTGATCCTGTTGACGAAATCTCCAAGTTCCATTGAAATTGGAAAATACAATTTTGAGAAATTAATAAAAAAACGATTTTTTATTGAAAATTGGACAAGCATTTCTGGACCTATGTTTATTTGAACTTCTCGTCTTAGAATCACCCAAATAATCACCCCTTGTAGTTTGGCCACATACTCAAATAACACCTTGTATAAGGTGAACATTTACAGATTCTATCTACATTTTAACATATTCATAAGGTTCGCCTGGATCCCCCTCTGCATATCTTTCACTTTTTTAATCTTCTAATAAAATCATTTGTTGTTTTCAAGCATTTCACCAATGTGGATAACAAGAAAAAGGAACTCGTCATATTCATCACGGAGATGTTTTCGTTGAAGCTGCGTGATTTTCTTGTGGAACATTTTCCCGGCTGCGATCTGGGCGATATTGAAGATATCCACTTCGGCTCTGTGAAAGCTGATACGGAAATATGACTAAGTGGAAATGAAAAAGTTGGAGTTGGATTCATATGGAAACTAAAATGTGATTTTGTTCTAAGAAAATTATGGTATTTTTGTGGAGCGAGAACAAACTAAATATTTTCAATTTGCATGGAGAACAACACTTAAAAACCCAAAGTTATGATTAAAATTTATCATAAGTTTCAAATATCACTGTATCAGGAATAAAAAACAATTTGTGTTTGTGTTAATAAATATTCTTCTGATAATAAACGAACCATTTTTTTTTTAACCACAAGGTATACGACTATCATTAGTCTAAGATCTCAAGTAAGGTCGACCTTCACTCATCTCCTTACCGGATGAATCAAATAAAATATGTTTCTATTGGGTTGTCATGAAAAATATATATTCACTACGAAGATAATGGATGAAATTTCAAAAATATACAGGGTGGTATTGAAATAAGTGCAAATATTTCAAACACTGAGAAAGCTCGACGTGAACTATCGAATGGCACATGGCACTATAATCAAAAAAATTTGAGGTCAAAATGAAATTTGAGGTTATAGATCCCTTTTTCCTCCCAAAGATCTACACTGTAGCAAATCTGACGTCACCTCTGTTCAAATTTCCATTTGGTAGGCACAATCACGCGGAGCCCACACAGCACATGTATGTCCAATGTACGTACAATGTACGTCCACGTCGGATCATTAGGACGTCCAATAGAAGTACTCGAGTGAATGTTCAACATCCTATGGACGTCCACTGGATGTCCTGATGACACCACTTTGACCTACTTCAGTACAAGTCTTGAAGACAACTGATTGCGTTTTCTGGTATTCTAAGGAGAATATAGAAGCATAAGCCTCGAGAGTGATATTTATTATTATGCACACCAAAACTTGAATCACTTCAAAGAGTCTATCTCCACAGTCTTTAAGATTCACGTCACTTATCTTCTGTATCATCTTCGCTCATGGTGGTTGAGGAAAAAACGTACTCCGGACTCACTTCCCTCAAATCGACGTACATATTCCTCTTCTTTACATCGAGAAGATCCACCAAGTCTGCGAAGAAAGGTCTTTCTTCCGGGTCTTCTCGCCAGCACCTCAACATCAGAGAATAGAGGTCGTCGGTGCATATTCCTGGACGGTCCAGACGTTTGCCGGCCCTGAGAAATGGCAGGATTTGGCAGTCGTCGAGGTTTTTGTATGGCAAGACACCTGGAGGAATTGATATTGTCACAAAGAGTTGCCCAAGATTCGTTAAAGAAACTGTTTGATCAAAAATCTACAACAGGGTGGTCACACTTTAAGGACCTACCTACCACAGTATATTCATTTTTTTTTAAATTTCCGTAGTTTTCAAATCCTGGATTATTATCCCCCGTTGTTCGAAAAATTTGTAAATTCGACAGGTAGGTGACAAGGATTATAAAACATTCTACATTTGTTTTGTTTTCCATAGACACATACTGATTAGGTTCACAGCATTTATTCCTGCTAATATCATGAATCAATGTGTAAGTTTTTTGTCAGGTTTTCACGCCGAAACATATTCTTATAGATGTCTGAGAAACGTGTAACGGTCCACTTGAACCTTACATAAACTTAAGTGACCCTTCTACTATTCATTTTTTTTCAGTACAATCAGTTCGGAGTAACACTCGGTATGCATCGTATTTTCAACAGATAGATAATATTCCAACATTAATTTGTAAGGACAACCTGTATATAGCTTTCGTCTTCTTCCTGTGATTGTGATCGAGTCATACGTGAAGATGATGATATGTTTCCCTGCTAAGAGTTTCACTTGTGGATGTGTTTATCTTATTCTTATTTTTTTTCTGTGACGGGAAAAAAGTTTGGCATTTCATCTCTGTTGGCAGGTTATAAAATGTCACTTTTCATAAATTACTTTTTTCCCGTGGGAAAAAAGTGAGTACTTCTTTCCCGGATATATATCACATATATATACTCTGTTAATGGCTTTTGTTGTGCTATAGTTCCGAAAAATAAGTCAATAATACCGTCTCCGAGAAAGAACTGCAAGTCCTTTTATCTTCCATTCGACTTCGCGGTTTCGTATATTACTAAACAACTACTGAATTCGCAATTTTTCAAAATCAAATCACAGAATTGAACTGACAGAAGTGACATCAGATATTTGATTACTTCAAAAGAATGATAAAGATGTCTATAAAACGCAGGTGTCCCTACTGTTAAAGACTTGAAATTTCACGTCGATAATTTTCAGATTTCGAAATAATGTAATATCTTCTCAATATTGATTCGTCCTTCCTTCTGTCACAGAAAAAAATAGTGTATTATACACGGGAAAAATATTAGATTTTAGCTCACGGTTTTTTGTCTCCCTCCGCTACGCGTCGGGAGACAACATAACCTGGAGCTAAAATCTACTACTTTTTTCCCTTGTATAATAAATAACTATTGTTTACAAACTCAAGACTACTTCTTTTATTTCTAACAATTAAAATATCAACATAGAGAATTCACTTCTATATGATTGCCTCACCTGTGTTACTAAAACAGTGTGGACAATCGATGTCATGTTAAATACAAAGTCACTAGATAATGCCAATTTACATAGCACTCAATCAGACCCAGCGCTCTGATTTCTTAGTGTTCTGTGTCTAAGTTCGACGGTGTAATCTTGACCGTGCCGAAATTCGAGCAAGATTGACGGAGATATTTCTCTCTCGATTGGCGCTTGGCAGAGCAACAAGTGAATTATATTACTCTTTCGAAATGCCAATTATATTGCAAATAGGCCGATTAAAACCTATAGGTATGTACAATATGATATAAGGTTAATTTTGAGCCATTTGATAATGTTCACACAATTATAAAAGTATTAGAAAACACATCGATCAACATGATATTCTTTTCAGGCCTCTTTGGTTTCTACTGAAGCCATTTGCAATTTTTGCCATTTTTGGTGATGATGTGCAGTATGCACTTGCGCACATGACATGTCGTCATGGACGCAATTTAATGATAACCTAACCTGTTGTGGATGTTTTGGTTAAATGTGATGTATATTTCACAATTGGGACTTATGATTCGATGTCTCCCAAATTTCAACCCATATTATTGCTAATGGGGCAATAACAAGTGTTTGTCAGCTGTTGGAGTTTGCTGCCTGTTTTGTTTGTTTGGATACCATGTATATGAATGAATTGGATACCATTTGCTGATGCAATTTATGGAGTATGAGTAAGCCACCCATACAATTAATGGTTAATTTTGAGTAAGAGTATAATAATGGATGACCCTCAGTGAGTACTACTTGTGATGTAATCTTTCATTACCATTGAGGAGTTGAAGACATAGATCTTCACTAGTGTCTTACTTTGTTTACTTTGTAATAAGTGTTCTCCTATTTGTGAGAAACGAAATAACAGCTGCTATTTCATTTCGTAGGAAACCTAGGTATTTTGTTTACATTTATTATTCCCAGTCACCTGGTGACTTATTATTATCACTTGCTAGCCACAGTGAGGCTGTCATAGATTTAATTTCACTAACATTACATCTTTTGGCATTGCCTAGAATAGAGTTGAAATACTCCCCTATTCATTGATAAAATTTCACTAACATTGTAACCTTAAGTTATCTATTGAATTTCAATTTAATCATTACAATTAGTCATTATATTAACATTATTTGTAGTAAACATTGACTTATTACACACTGCGTGTAAGCACTTCTATAACATCATTTAGGTATTACATGGTTTTCAAGAGGTATAGTTCGATATTTTTGTTCTGTCCTATCCTAATTCTTCTCAGTAAACTCTGAGTGGCGCCCATAGTTTGCTTTACAGATAACATCTTGTGGAAAAACAAATAGAAAATGATTTTCTCAAAATCCCACGACCACTCTACGACTATGAAGGCCACCGTGCATTGAGGCTTTAATTTCTTTTTGTGAAGTTACGCCACAAACGACATTGAAGAAACAGAATAAATTCCGCAGCGGGTACAAAAATTGACATGATTGTTGGACACAAAATATTCAACAATCAGATATTAAACTATACGTCGTTACCTTACATATCATTTATTAGAATACCTCTTCTGGAACTTTTGATTCTCAGATCAATTGGATGATTTCATGAAAATGACAAATATCTAATAACCTAACATCAGGTATGGGCACTTCGAAGGCGCAAATTCATCACTGCATGCATGGCAGATACCCTTCAGATTTTTTCAATATGCAGTGACATGAACGTTTTAGTCTCCGGCGCAACCAAAATGCACGAATAAATACTAGAAATTCATAAATGTATTAACAACGCAACTGTCACTTGTCTCAATGACAAAAACCAATTTTGACGAAACCATATTTTTTGCACATTGAAGTTCTCATGGATATTTTCACCTCGTTATACTTCAACTTTGCCCAGTTCTGTTTGTACCCTCTAATATTTTCTTCTGATTTTGATGGTATTCCTACCATGGATTACTTCTTCTCCTCTTATCTTATTTATCAAGTTTGAACCTGATCACTTGTTCCTCATCTTTTAATTACAACATTTTACATTTTATTGTTTACCTGTATTCATTCTAGCCAGAATAATGTCTCATGGTTTAATTTTAGTTAGGTCATACATCATACATCATGAACTTATATATATGTTATGCTGTTTTTTCTTTGAATAACAGCTAATTTCGACAAACTGATCACGCTACTGAATTCTAGATAGTTGTAATACATAGGAGGTGCCAAACTTCAACATTTTCAATTTCGACTTGTATCTCAGAGACCAAGCAGGCTATGATTTTGTTCGAGTTTCACGAAAAAGAGCCAAAGTTCCCAAAAACCGCAAATCTTTTGAAAATAAGGGAATATATAGTTATAATCAAAATTCGCATCTTACAATTGGATTCAGATACGTACAGTCGTATTAAAAAAAAGCGTACCTACAAGTATATTGGAGGGGGAAATTAACATCATCCTATTTGCGTAAAACGGACTATCGGGAATGAATGTTTACCAAATGTTGACAGTAGAGTAATCATAGGTTCTCAAAAACACAATGCATTGGCTGGGCCAATTTTACACAAGGAGAACTGGAATGCCGAAATCTTTTATGTTCAATACTTGTACGCTTTTTTATTGAATACGACTGTACATAATACTGTTTGGTATATTTATATATGAAATATTGACATTCAGAAAGCCAGATTATCTATCCAATTCGATAATACCCGAACAGGACCTTCAATACTTGAATCTGAGAAACTCAATAAGATTCAACATTCCACAACATACAACTACGAAGTTTGTATGCTGTTATGCATATACATCAACAAAATTCCTGAATACAAATATATATATATATATTCAAATGATACAACCCAGATAGCACACACTCGCCTAAGGTCATCCTCAATGTGTCGCCAAACGCCTGGAGAGGACGTTCTATTTTCTACAACCTGAGAACATCATCAGGCGTAAATTTAGCGCTGTAATTGTCCTAAAAATGAGTTCTTTCAGTGACAGCCTGAGGATGTAAAGAATTTCGTGCCTACGGACGTCTTCAGATGACATTCCATGAAATAACGTGTCATCGAAGACACAAGGAAGAAAAAGAACTAGAATTGAGGTTATGTCTCATGATAGTCATGATTTTTTCAAGATACATCATAATAATGATTATATCAAAATTATTAGATTATTCATTGAATACCTCCATCATGCATTCATCAAATTTCTATTTCACAAAATGATTGCGAGAAGAACTTATTGCACAGAATTAAAAGATAACAATAACAAAAGGATGATAATCTCTGTTGATGACATTTCTCTCAGGTAGCAAGAAACAAAGGTGAGTAAATACTAAATAGAATCATTGATAGTACCGGACATGAAATATTGATACATTCTATACATTATTCATTGTTTCAGGAGGTTATTGAGAACACAAACTTGATGATATCATCATAGCAAACATGTTTTATTCCAAGATATCTTTGCTTCTTCAGAATCTATAAAATATTGTACGGAAGCTTGAACATTCAGTATGAATTCAATAAAGGTAGGTACCTGAATCAAATCATTGATATAGTAGGTACTGGACATGAAATGTTAATAGGTTAATTATTTGTTTCAGATGAAGTTATTGAGAACACAAGCACAGTAGAGAGCTTACACTGTGACACAAGATTGATGATGTCATCAGAGCAAAGATGTCTCATTCCTAGATATTTTGGCTTTTTCGAAATCTATGTGAGATTGTATGCATGTTTGCACTTTCAGTATATTCAATAAAGGTAGGTACCTAAATGAAATCATTGATATAGTAGGTACTGGAACATGAAATATTAATAGGTACATTATTTGTTTCAGGAGGTTATTGATATCACAAAATGATGATATCATCAGAGCAGAGATATTTTATTCCAAGATATTTTGGCTTCTTCGGAAATTATGAAAGATTGTACATAATGCAGACTTGAACTTTCAGTAGATTCAATAATGGTTGGTACCTTACTACATAAATCATATCATTGATAGTAAGTACTGGACATGAAATATTAATACATTGTTTGTTTCAGACAGTTTTGCTTCTTCAGAATCTATAAAATATTGCATGAAGGCTTCAACTTCCAGTTGACTCTGCATCAGGAATGTCCAGAGTTCAGAAATAAAAAACAACATGGAGAAATATAACTACCAATAGGCAATAACTACTAGTAGTGCTCAACAAGAAGCTGAAATACATTTCTTCAAAAAGGAAATTGAAATTTTTCAGAATAACTTATAAATAATAGAATGTAAGTTTTTCATTTGGTTTTTCATTTGAACCTATTATAAATAGAGGGAAATTTTGCAAATATCATGAGATCCATATTATTTTGAAGAAATTATCATTTGCATAATACAAGGTGAGTCAATAGTGTGTTATCCTTGTACATTAGCCAAACCATCAGATAAATAGAGAAAATTCAAGTACAACAGTAATAGGGTTTCATGAGAACTTCCACATCAAATTGTTTTCATATCTGTATAGGGTGTTTGAATTCCAAGATATATTGACTGATGATTGTTTTTTTCCAAATGGGTCACCCTGTATACTATGGCATTTTTAGGTTCTCCCTGGAGAGCTGATTTTATCAATGCATCACACTTGGGGTCTAGCGGGAATGATTACAGAGATATAGGGTGTTCAAAAACAAGATTTTTCAATTTTAGGATTTTTTTTGTGGAAACTATTCAATATTGGTCAAAACGGCTCACATTTCCTTATGAACTTTTGATTTACTATCTAATGACATTCAATCGGAACAAATAGAGGGTGGTTCAACATTCAGAATACTGATCAGCTTATTGTATCTGTTCCAAATAAATATCAGTAGATAGCTAATCAAAAGTCAAGACAGGGACATGTGAGCCGTTTTGACCATTAATGAATAGTTTCGACTCAAAAAATCCTACATTTGAAGAATCTCGATTGTCAACACCCTATATCTCTGTAATAATTCCCACTAGACACCAAGTGTGATGCATTGATGAAATCAACTCTTCAGAGAAAAGTCAAAAATGCAATAATATACAAGGTGGTCCATTGAAAAAAAACAATCATCAACCGATATCTTGGAATTCGAACACCCTATAGATATGAAAACAACTTTAGGTGATTGTTCTTATGGAACCCTATCACTGTTGTACTTGAATTTTCATTTTATATATCTGACGGTTTGGCTAATATCAGAGGAGAACACACTAATGACTCATTCTGTATACGAATAATATTCTCCCATAAATCTTGAACCTCCTTGAAACATCATCAAAAACCGCCTCAAGTTGTTACTATGATGTCCTGAGGTTGTCTCAAAAGATTTTATAGGGATGTTCTGAGACGTTATTAGTATGTAGAGAATGGTAACAGGAGGACGTCTTAAGAATGTCCTCTGGATCGCTCTCGACGTCCTGAGGACATTATCGTGAACGCCTCAGAAGGGCCTCAAAAGGAATTTGTGCTATCTGGGAAGGAGCATCTTTATCCAATTTCAAGGCGGAACTCAAGAAATATTGCAGACAAATAATGGGTAATTCTTAGAGTACATTTTGTTTATTTTAGTAAAGTTAGTAGGTATATGTCTTCGCTTTTCACACATATGTAATCAATTATATTTATCAACACCTTAATAGCACACAACGTCCTAGGGCCGTCCTTATTCGGTACAATTCACGTCCGAATGTCCCGACCCAAAAATGAGTGTCCTTGGGACGTCCCATCCCGTACATCTCATACAATGTCCGAGCAAGGACGTCCACGGAATGTGTCAGCTGGTACATCATTTCAAATGTCCTAGAAATAGCATTCCTCAGACGTTCCACGTGGTACATATTGTAGAATGTCCATGCAAGAACGTCCTTGGCATGTCCATTTTAAACGTTCCTTCAGGGACATCCATCGGATGTCCCGAGTAGTACATATTCTGGCATGACTTCAGATCCTATATAATGTCCCTTCTAGACAACCATGAAATGTCCCTGATGGTACATTCCTTCAAATATCTTTGCACAGACGCCCTTAATATTTCCAGGATCGTATAACAATCGAAATGTCCCTTACGGACATCCTTCGAATGTCCCTTAGGGATATCCGTAGTATGTCCCAATTGGTACATGAACTGTACTCTTCCAATGTCCTAGGAATATCGTCCTATGGACGTCCCAGTCGGTACTTTCAATATGTTGTCCCTGCGAGGACGTTAACTTACACCTCGCCGACGAATGATTGCTTGTAGGCTATGAGTACTCCCCGTCAATGTCCTTCACGTAAGTCCATTAGACATCGTTGGGAAACTTTTTGGGTACCTTCTACGGACCATCTACTCAACTGGACATCCTAATCAGTTATGCAAGATCTGGTCCTAGAGGGACCCCAGAAAAATTCGAATTCAAGAATAATTCGTACGTCCCTGGGACATCCTATGGACATCCAATTGATATCCCTCAGCGTTGCTGATAGGTTGTCCTATGGATGTCCTATGGATGTCCTATGGATGTCCTAAGGATGTCCTCTGTAGTGCTTGATGAGGAATACTGTAGGATTTAGGTATTCGATAGTTGTCCCAGGGACATCCCTCCCTAGTTGGTCCTCAAGTGGGACATTTGTGCGTCTTTCAGACGTCCAATGGACGTCCACGATACCAAATTCGAACGTCCTATGGACGTCCTCAATGTCCCGACAGGACGTCCTAAAGATATCCATGGGACATGATTGTGTTATCAGGGCATGTAGATTATAGGTCATTTATGATGTCATGAAAGAAATTGTACTTATGTGGGCGCAATAAATATTTTTTCTATTCTATTCTATTTTATAAGGTGACCCAGGGTGAAACCGCCAAACGTTTAGGATCAGCTTTTTAGGCAAAAATAAGACTTTTCCTTCCTTTAAGCATTTCTGAGATATAGGGTGTCAATGTTTTTAGAAAAATTCAGTTTTTCATTGAGGACTCAAAAATCTTTGGGCTGGTAGCAAGGGGCTCCTGTTTACTGTCCACTTCCAATAAAATCATCATTTCCAGTAGCGTCCCAGAGGGTAATCTATCTAATATTAGGATAAATCATTGTACGCCACTGTTCCATTTGTATTTGTTGATTACCTCTATTTATTTTCGAGAAAATATGAAAAAACGTTTCCCTGCATGTAGCAGCAGGATAAAACTATCTGACTGATTAAGACAAATACTGATCAAAATGACAAAAAAATGTATTTTAGAAAGTCAAAAAATAAACATAAAATAAACATATACATGAATAAGAGTAAACAGTAAATAGAAGTCCGAGTCCATCATTACCTCAAATGAGTATGCCAATTTTCATTCAAGTCAGCCCAAAGGCTTTTGAGTAATTATTAATGAAAACTGATTATTTCTAAAAGCTTTGACACCCTATCTCTAGAATGAAGCAAGTTTAGGACACATGCTTATGGAAACAACAAGTCTTATTGTTGCCTATAAAAAACTGATCTTAAACGTTTTGCGGGTCACCCTGTATAAGCCTGAGCATACTCACCCAGCGTCCCAATTTCCCATAGAACCACGCCGAACGACCAGACGTCCGTTTTAGGGTCGCAAGTCCTAGCTTCGATGGCTTCCAAGGCCATCCATCTGAGGGGCAGCCGGGCACCCGCGCTGCTCACGTACACGCCGGTCCTGGACAGGCCGAAATCGGATATTTTCAGGGTTCTGTTGGCCGACATCAGGACGTTCCTGGCAGCCAAATCTCTGAAATTACAACAGTTTTGCATGGAAACGTTTGAAAATCGGATTTTGTGATGAGTCATAGCCTCTGAGGTGCTCGGAAATAAAGATTTCCGCGCTATTTTCAGTTTTTTGCCCGCAACTCGGCAACTATACAATTTAGCGAGAAGACCACCATGTAGAAATTTGCAGCAAATAACATTTCATATACCTTTATGATTGAAACTGTTCATTAATGTGAGACTAACGGGTGAGAAGCTAGGGTGATTTGAAAATAGCAAAAAATAGTGTTTTTCGTCAGTTCTCGTAGTTAATTCATAATCTAGCTAAGCATGTCTAGAAGGAACAAACTGAGCTCCCTGATGTCGAGGAGTCCTGGCCATGTGATATTGATTTTGTCTGCGTGTAACCCTATAAAGAGTTGAAGAAGATGAAATTTTCTATGTATGCTCTTGAGATACTGGTGAGAGCTATAAATGCCTCATTTTCACCTGGAGTATTTCCACAATGCCTAAAAAGTGCGATACTTATTCCATTATTCAAAGGCGGAGATTCCAATGATCCTGCGAACTTCAGAACAATCCCAATGCTTTGTATACTACCCAAAATAATTGAAAAACTCGTAAAGAAGAGAATCATGATCTTGTTAAGGAAGCATAGAATTATTAATTGAGTCCAGTTTGGTTTCCAGAGTGAACAGAGTACAGGTGATTCAATGTTCAATCTGTGCCGCAGCGGTATTTTGTGATCTGACAAAGGCATTAGATGGCACACACAAGATTTTGCTGAAAAAATTGGAAAGATATGGGTTTAAAGATGAAGTCCTGCAATGGTTTGAGTCGAATTGGTCTGGACGAACTTGAAGTGTATCTATCATTAATATTGTGTCAGATAGATTAGAAGTTGAGTGTGGAGTACCTCAAGGGTCAATGCTGGGCCCAGTTCTCTTTCTGCTCTATATAAATGATAGCATCTATCGATATTCGAGGAAAATTCACACAGTTTGCAGATGACACGACGATCCTGTGGCACAATCAAGATGTATCGAAATTGCAACCAATTTTTGTTGATGATATTACAAGAGTCAGAGAGTGGTGTGATCCCAATATGGTTTCATTGAAAATTTCGAAAACAAACATCCTCACTTTTTATTGCAACTTGCAAGAAGAATTGTTTCTTGGTAATCAAGTAATAAGAAATAAGTATGTAACGAAATTTTTGGTTCTACACATTTACGATAAATTAAGGTTTGAAGAACATACAGACAAATTGAGGAAAAAGTTATCCTCTGGGTATTTAGCAGTTAGAACAACATCTCGAGAACTTGGTGAAGATATGGATATGGCGAAAATGGTATACTTTGCTCTTATCGACTCCCATTTGAGATATGGAATTTGTTTCTGGGGGCCTCGCAATTATAAGAGTATAAGATAAATATTGTATGAATATTGAAAAGTGCCTATTTATATAGCGAAACAAAAAAAACAGAATGTTATTCATTTTCAAAGGCGCATGTAGCGGTGATGGTATATAATTCGCATTTCTGCCTCTATTGACGATACACGGAGGTACGACCGTCCATTGGACATCCTAGGAAAACTTCTTCAGGATCTATTGAAGACCTTTTACGGACCATCAACTCACTTGGATGTTCTCATGTTATGAAAGATCTGGTCCTAGGGAGACTAAAATAAATTCAAAGTCAAGATTAATCCGTACGTCCAGGGACGAACATTCCAGACGACGTCCCATGTTAGTTCCAGGGACGTTCTATGATCGTTCTAGAGGACGTTTCATAGACGTTCCAGAGGACGTCCTCTGGACATAACAGAGGACGTTTCGGAGGATGTCCTATGTAAAACCTCGGTACAAAAACAGAATGTTCAATGAACTTCAAGAACGTCCATTGGATAATTTCCAAAGAGGTCTAATGTTCATCCTTGGGGGATATATTTTTCTGATGAGAAGTTGGGACATTTGTAGTTCTCACGGACGTACCATGGATGTCCGCGGTATCAAAAACGCATGTCCTATGGACGTCTAGAATATCACGGGGGGATGTCCTATGTGACTTCAGTGTGCTATTAGGGTAGTTCAAGTTCATGAGGAGTTCAATATTAACTCACCTGTGCGTTATTTGTATACTCTCCAAATATCGCATGCCATTGGCAATCTGGTAAGCGAAATTCTGTAACTCTTTATGATCCAGTATGGCATGTAGGAGGTCATTCATCTCATTCAACAACGGCGATGGAGTGTCCAAAACAGTAATATCAGCTGAAACAAGTATAGATATTTTTTACTAGCGTGCAAAGTCCCTATTCGTTCAGCAGTGACGATTTGACCAGTCGCATTCATTCGATTTTTTTTATCGCTTGGAGCGCACGAAAGCGAATCCCTATAATGTTCAAAGAACATCTTGCTTTCCTAGGGAGCATAGGGATAGGAGGTAGGTATTGAAATTTTTTTTATGAACGCACTAATAGGTATAGGTAAGTAGGTAATTGTCCATTCTTTGTATATTTTCTACTCGATTCCTGATTAGAATGATTGAACCAATAATAATATGTCTCCTTTCTCCTTGTTTTTACATACCTATAACAACTATTATACAAGCCCTTTTGTCAAACGCAGAATTTCTTGTGACCAGAAAATCTGATTGTTATGAAATTTTGTTTGTTTTTGACTATGCCTGGCTGTGATTAATGGAAATGTTGTTTCTTCTGGAGCAAGTTCTATATATCTATATAGTCAATGATTTACATTGAGAAAGCCACTTTGCAAAATGCACAAAACATTCTTTAATAATTGACAATGTTACTGTTTTCTCTAGATTTTCGTGATTCAACATTCGAAATATTTCAAGCACAATGACATTCTGGGAAAAAGACGTGACATCAAATCACAAAAATCTATAAAAATAAATACTTCTTCAACTAGATTAAGCTACACATAGTATATTTGATGATATTAGTATATGTATAAGTATATGTTCCATTTATATTATGAATATTTTCTCACTTGTTATGTACGTCGAACATCCACTTTGCTCGAAATTTTTTGATTAAAGAACAAAATTTTTCGAATATGATGGTTAATCAACTTGACAATAGAAGAATTTTCTTGTTTCAAACTAACTAATTCTTTCTTTGACCAATACGTACTGTGGTAATGAAGGAGTATCCATTCGAATCGAGATTTTTTTATGAATAAGTCAAGAAAGTTTTTTAGGAAAATCAAACAAATATTCGGTTGGACATTTCAAGAGCGCCATATGGTTGAATCAATGCTGTTCCGCATTGAATCGAGAAATCCTTCTTATCTGTGTAGTAGTGGTAGGAGAATTCGTTTCGCTGTAGGTTCCTCAGGCTGTAATTGAGCATTTTTCTGAGTTGAGACTCGAATTACTACCCTAATAACACAAGATGTCCATTGGATATCTGTATTGTGTCTTTTATATGTCCAAGGTGTCAAGTCAAGTTCAAGTCAAGCGAAAGTTTTTTAATGTCAAGTCAAGTCAAGTAATTATTTATCAAGTACTTGAAAAATCAAGTAGTTCTATCAAGCTACTTGATTTTCAGCAGTTTTATTGTGTAGCTATACAGCGTGACTCACGGTCGATGTTATAGGTTAGACGTTTATGGAGAACGCGACGCGGGATTTTTCTGAAAATTTCGCATACACAAAAAATTCCTGAAGTTGAAAAATCTCGATTTTTCGCACTCTATATCTCCATAATCTTTTCCGCTATACCCCGAGTGTGATGTATCGATGAAATCTACTCTTCAAGGAGAATCTGAAAATGCAATAAGATACAGGGTGTTCAATTCGAAATAACAAAGTGGTTCCTACTTTTCTATAGAAGCGGCAACGTCATGATTTTGAAAATATATTAGATCGATAGTACCGGTGATGAAATGTGAGATGCGAAATTTTCAGAAAAATCCTGCGTTGCGTTCCTATCATAAACGTGAACGTCTAACCTACCATCGACCGTGAGTCACCCTGTATATAACTGATGAAATGAAAATGGCATCGTAAGACTGACTGCGCGATCGATTCAGTCAGCTCGGATCTCGGGGAACCCCCGTATTTTGTCTAAGCGTGAGCGAGCTTGCAGAAATATACGCCGTGCGACTCGTGCGTATCAAGATCAAGTATTATCAAGTAGCTTGATTTCAAGTCAAGTAATAAATATCTCAAATTCAAGTCAAGTCAAGTACGTAATTTGCCACGAGCTTGATTTTCAAGTCAAGTCAAGTAGTTTGTTAAAATATTAAGCTACTTGACTTGATGAATCTCTGGTGACCACAGGCCGACAGGCTCGGCCGTGTCAGAGTAGTGATGCCGTCCGCCATTGTTATTGTTGTTAACGTTGATGAATTGTCTGAGGCTACTGAGACTGATAATCTCATCTTTTTCAGATAAATGTATGTATATATAGCGTTTTGAAGATTTTTCATGTTCGAACTTGTATTGAGTGACATTATTGTAATAATCTGTTCCTTAATGTGTGTGTGTGCATGGCGTCGACACTCGCTTGTGTTTTATCGTTATGCCATTTCGGTCGAAGAATAAATAGATCACTTGAAGTGAAGAGCCATCCCAGGATGTGTTGATGAAGATATCGAAGAATTTCAACTAGTAGAACGGATCTGAAATTGAGTGCCTATTTTGTCAAGTCAACCAAACTGAAATGATGACAGGAGGTGGCAATAGAAACAACATATCACACCAATCTGAAATGGAATATTATAGTACCTATAGTGTTCGCTTCAATATAATTTAATATGAAATAAATTGAACAACCAGAAACATATATAGATTATATTTATTGACAAGATCTTATTCCTATATAATATGAATGCATACATTCAGAACATCCGATAAAATTTATCATATAGATGTCCTTGACGGATACCATATGGATGTCCAGGACGGATACCATATGGATAGCTAAAAAGTTGGAAACGCGATATCCTATGGATGTCCATACGTCATCTAGTGTACACAAACTGGATGTCCTATGGATGTCCGAGATGTCCAGAGGAGGATGTTCATAGGACGTCCATTGGATCGAGTTGTGTTATTAGGGTAGTTATCACTCAAGATTTTGTAAGAGGACTAATTCTTAATTGTTCTGATTAGTAGTTATTCTCGGTAGGAGTTAGCAATTTAAAGTAGTACAGTTCACCTACCAAGTTGGATAATATCAGTGAAAATTGACTAGTATACTTACTGTTCGTGCATGAGGGGAATTGGCTGGAAGTCAAAGACATCGGTGATTGAGGCATCTGGGACCCTTCGGAAAAATACCGTTTTCTGTCGTTCGCGAAAGTTAACGGCTTTAAGCTGGTCGGTGATGGTCGTTTCAGTTGCTGTCCTTCCCGATTAACATCCATACAAATATTATCAGGTACGATGTAAGAGTCGCTATTGCTATTTCTGCAAAATAACATAGAATGTGACGAATTTCATTGGTGAATTCAGGGGAGGTGAAGAATGATAACCCCTCCAAAAGCTTGTCTAGGAATAGATATTTGTTTTGCTGTCAATCTACATCTACATCCCAGGCAACCAGATGACGAATGATCACGTCACTGTGACGTCCCTAATTGGTGATTTTTCGTCAGAGACGTCACACACCAATTTATGACTTCACTATGACGTACTTTCTATGACGTGATCATCACGTCATCGTTTCGACGTCGAGTGAACGTCACTTAGATAAGTAAAAGGAGACGTCAGTTTCATGACGTTATAGGGACGTCTTGTCGACGTCCATTTTTCCCAGACCTCTTATATATTATCATGTGAAAAGGAGTAGAAAAACTTTTTTCTTAAAAACTTTGACACACTGTATATCTCGGAAACCAACAAGCTATGCATATATAAAAATGTTTAGGTATACCTATATTGAAACCGTTATATACTCTTATGACGTTGCTATGACGTCTAAAAATCACGTCGGTGTGACGTACCAATTTGATGAGCTTCGTCATTCAGGAAATTTTTGAATACTCAATTGACTACTTAGATTTTTGTTGGGTGACAAAGAATGCATCAATATATATTATTCAACAAAGTGAAGCCGAATTCGCCAACATCCTTTCCATTGCTATCAAACTATTCTTTGTTTGCTTACATCTCGCCGACACAAACTACATAATTTTTGATACAAATACGAGTAACTGATTGCATTTTGATGGAGGTGCGTACTGAAGGATGGTGCTGCTGAATAGGCGATTGAATGAACATGTCACAGAACGGACCCACCAAGCAGACTCAACAATGCATAATCAATATTATATAATGTCATCAGAGGCTAGAGGTGTTAATCACACCATGTTGAAGGAATCTTTCTTACGTATCATCGTCAAATTCAATCGTCATTTTGACGTCATTATGACGTCAGTCGGATGTCACAGTTTGGTGAGTGAATGACGTCAATACGACGTGAGTGATAAGACGTCAATGGGCTGTGACTTATTCACGTCATTATCACGTCAATGCGACTTCAACTACTGACGTCACCTTGGTCATTCAAGTGACGTAAAAAATACGTCACTGTAACGTCATCTGGTTGCCTGACAATACCGAACGAAGAGGAAAAAAGTTGTATTTCCCATTATTTTGTCACTGTCTTGATATGGCTGTACAAAATAGTTGGCAACTCCACAGGCATATTGCACTAGGATCACTGAAAACTCATGAGTAAAAGAAAAAATGATGTCCCGTTCCTGTCAGTACTAATTTACATGAATAGCGTAAATGTGCTTTTCGGCATATACAAAATATTTCTTGCAGAAAATGTGCTTTAAGCCTGCATCCCTAAGAATGTTCTCTATTATATCATTCAAAATAGCAGTATAGTCGGGGCTAAATTCCAAAAAAGCCCTCCGTTACAATCCTAGAAGCATTTTATTCAACAATTGGATAAATGACGTTAACCCCCTATTTCGACCCTGTTGAATCCGAGAATACCGTTGATCAAGCCAAAATTCCAAGCGGAAGTGGGATATTCAAGATGGCGTCCAAAATACCCCTAAGATCAAATTATTTTCTACTTTTGGTCAGCCATACGACTGAGGTATTGATGTCTATGTTTTCGGGGGTGTAGAACACGATGAGACACTCAAAAATCAATTTGGAGCATTAAAAGTTCATCATCTTCATCCTCATCTTTTTCTACTCCATTCCCAGTTAACACAAACCTCTCTGAGATGTCGCATTCAGGTCACCAGATGTTGAAAATGCGAATCGCAATTATACGTTGCTGTTACCACTACGGGATACGAATTAAGATGAATGGTTCACAATGGAACTCACATTTTGGTCGATCCGAATCAAATATGAATGTGTATTTGTGAGTCCATCTAGCATACCAAGTACGTTCATTGAATGCGTTGAAGATAAATTTCTTTGGAATCTCTGTATAATGTCTCAAGGATAAATAAGTGATTCGCATGTATTACATTCCATGATAACTAAATGTGAACAGGCGTCTATAACGATTTATCAATTTTTCTAACTTCTCAGTAAATTTTCATTCCTGGCACGACCTCCCTCTCTGGCAGAATGACGACATCAAATTATTCAGTTGTGATTCAGAAGTGAATTTTTGCAATTGCATACCTCGTTGGTCCCAGCACTGGGACCAATAAACTCCCCATAAGTCGAAACTTGTGCGGGGTTAGGTATACATACAAACACAAACATCCATGGCCTAACTATTAGGATTCGAACCTATGTCTCGGTGGAAGTCCCCATACGAACTCAGCGCCTTCACGCTCTCGACCACCAAGCCGTTGTGGCATTATACTTCCGTAGCAGCGATATACTGCATGTAGAGCTTGCTTCGGAATTTATTTCTACAAATTCATTTTACTTCATTTCCTCTACCTCTACTGAGGAACATATGGACTTCAGGACTTCTTCATACCTTTCTAACAAGGCGGCTTGGTGGTCGAGAGCGTTAAGGCGCTGAGTTCGTATAGGGACTCCCACCGAGAACTAGGTTCGAATCCTAGTTAGGCCATGGATGTTTGTGTTTGTATGTATACCTAACCCCGCACAAGTTTCGACTCATGGGGCGTTTGGTCCCAGTGCTGGGACTAACGAGGTATGCAATTGCGAAAAAAAAAAAAAGTTGAAGCTCTTCAGTCGACACTTTTACTCGAATGGTTATTTTGTATCGCTGAAGCTCGGCAGAATAATTTTCATTCTCAAACGCAAAGTATCATTTCGTTTTTTAGATACAAAAATATATGTTTCAAAAAGTGTCTGCAGATGTTGACATTTGGCTTGAAATGTCAGCGAAGTTTCACGTTCTAGAACGTTGAACATTTTGTCATAATATGTAGGGAACTTATTCCAATAACGTATGTCAATTGAAAATAATAGAGAAAATGAATTTGTCGAGAAAAAATAAATTTGATCGTATACATCAAAAAATGTATCTCGATGCATAGAAGACGTGTACCAGATTTGATGAAGGTATATAAATGATAGCATATAAACAGTTATAGTAGTTAATGAAAGAAAATAATTTTTTTCTGAAAATTTTACCACCCTGTACCTCAAAATTCAAGACGTTTAGGACATGTTAAGTTCATGTAAAGATTTTTATCAAACTGGGTCCAAAGAATCACCCTCTGCATGTCCTTAAGGAACACCCTGTATGGCATATCCCCATCTATTTATCATGGCCGATCAGTTATTTGTTCACCGGTAGACTCAAAAAAGCATGCATGTTGCGCACAATGTGCTCTGCACGTGGTCGTTTAGGGTCGTAGATGTTGCCGAGAGTACCATAATGCCCTATATACCCTGATTCTATTGATTCATCGAGCTCATACTCGACTACTGTAATTATCGACAATCAAATAAACTACTCATTTTGCAATGAAACAATTCATTAGTTCGACGTATGTGTCATAAGTCTAGGTCGTAGGTTGTGGTCAAGTAGTTCCTAATGTTTAGTTGTGTTGGCAACACCGTTAAAAGACATGTCTGTCAGAATTGTCTATATGTCAATGTCAAGTGTCTTCAGTCAGGCAGTTACCGCCAGAAATGGTAGAGGCTCCAAGCCAGATATTATAATGGAGATGTGCTTCTGATTTACTTTGGATTATTAAAAGTATTAAAACACTGAGCATGTGGTTTTAATGATACATGGTGTCAGGTGTCCTGGATTGAAACTTGGATTATTGGATTTGTACCCCGGAGAGCCATGGAATCGTTATTCAAAGCCCCAGAGTCACTGAATGTGCAAGGGAATGTTGCTGATAACTGGAGAAAATTTGAACAAAGGTTTGATTTGTTTATGTTGGCCACAGGATTGAGTGAAAAACCTGATGCTAACAAAATAGCCGTTCTATTGAGCATAATTGGTGAGGAAGGATTGGACATATATAACTCTTTCACCTTGACAGAAGCTGAAAAGGGTTCTCTGATTGCAATCAAAGCTAAATTTGCAGCTCATTGTGCCCCTCTCAAGAATGTGATCTTTGAGAGATATGTTTTCAACTCAATAGTACAGAAGGAGGGACAGAGTTTTGATAGTTTTGTGACAGAGCTGAAAATCGCTGTTAAATCAACAGAATACAAAGATGCTGATGATATGATAAGGGACAGGGTTGTGATGGGTATCCAGGATAAGTCAACTCAAGAAAGGTTGCTGAGAGAGTCAAATTTGACTTTGAAAAGGACCATAGATTACTGTAGAGCTGTGGAGGCCAGTAAATCTCAAGCTCAAGCTTTCCAAAGTGAAGCAACTGTTAGTGCACTCAGAACTAAGAAGAACTTTGACAAGAACAAACAGGAGAAGATAAAGTGTGCTTTCTGTGGTTACATGCACACCAAAGGCAAGTGCCCTGCCTATGGTGAAGTTTGTAATGAATGTAATGGTCGAAATCACTTTGCTAGTGTATGCAGGAAGAAAGAAAGTTTGGGTAAGAAGAAAGGAAAGAAGGTTAATGAAGTTATGGTAGAAGACAACTCTGAAGATGAAGAAGATAGTGAAGATTTCTTTGTGAGTTCACTAGTAAAAAATATTGATGGACTCAGGTCCATGACTGAGCTTACATGGATGAAGAAAATCAATGTTGAAGGTAAACCTGTACAATTCAAGCTGGACACTGGAGCTGAGGTGAGTGTTCTTCCATTGGATATTTACAAGAATGTAGGCAAACTGGATGGATTGAAGAACACTCATGTCACTTTGGTCTCTTATGGCAGTTCTGACTTCAAGATCAAACCCATTGGAGAAGTTACACTTAATTGTACAGTAGATAATAAGTCTGCTTGTTTACCTTTTGTCGTAGTTGACAATAATAACCAAGTGCCTTTGCTAGGTTTGTCAGGATGTTTAGATTTAAAATTGTTGAAAAGAGTTGATAGTGTACATAGTGCAAAATTTGAGACTGTATCTGATATTGAAAAGC